CCAAAGTGCTGGGATTACAGGCTTGAGCCACCGCGCCCGGCCAACAATCACTTTTTTTCTTTTTTTTTTTTTTGAGGTGGAGTTTCACTCTTGTTACCCAGGCTAGAGTGCAATGGCGCGATCTCAGCTGACCGCAACCTCCGCCTCCTGAGTTCAGGCAATTCTCCTGCCTCAGCCTCCTGAGTAGCTGGGATTACAGGCACATGCCACCATGCCCAGCTAATTTTTTGTATTTTTAGTAGAGACGGGGTTTCACCAAGTTGACCAAGATGGTCTCGATCTCTTGACCTCGTGATCCACCTGCCTCGGCCTCCCAAAGTGCTGGGATTACAGGCTTGAGCCACCGCGCCCGGCCTAACAATCACTTTTTTTAAAACTACCATTTTCAGCATCTCATCTTGCTTGTACTTGGCACAAAGCCACACTTTGTATAAGGCATATTGCACTGATTTGCAAATCAGCAAAAATTTTTGAGGGCATACTCTGTTTAACATGCTACTGGTACTACAGAAGATTAATAAAAGTTGTTTTCTTCAACAAATTTATGTGCAAAAAGTCAAATCCATTGTTTGAAACTTAAAAACTAACATAAAGCAGCATATAACCCAGTGTTAAGAGTGGCATATAATAAATACCAAACACATGAAACATACTTTACAAATCTGTTAAATGTATTTATAAAATCCATAAATGTTTCAGACTTTATGCTGCTTTTTCAAATTTCTGCTGCTTGAATGGTTATTAGTCCTTTAAGGAATTCCACTCTATAATATTAATAGGAAAGAAAATAAAAGCAATTTCTTCCATGATGAACAGAGTTTTTTTAAAAATTGTAAAAAAGAAAGAACCCAGCATACTTCCAGTAACTTTATATATAGTAACACTTATATCCATTTCCTCCACATATCCTCATCTTTCTGATGTGTGGCTGTTTGGCTCCACTTAACGTAAGAGACTTCCTTTTTGTTTTGCAGAATATACATCAGTGTTTTCAGTATAATTAAAAATGCCCACCGGGCGCGGTGGCTCACGCCTGTAATCCCAGCACTTTGGGAGGCCGAGGTGGGTGGATCACGAGGTCAAGAGATCAAGACCATCCTGGTCAACATAGTGAAACCCCGTCTCTACTAAAAATACAAAAATTAGCTGGGCATGGTGGCGTGTGCCTGTAATCCCAGCTACTCAGGAGGCTGAGGCAGGAGAATTGCCTGAACCCGGGAGGCAGAGGTTGCGGTGAGCCGAGATCGCGCCATTGCACTCCAGCCTGGGTAACAAGAGCGAAACTCCGTCTCAAAAAAAAAAAATGCCCAGGCCAGGCATGGTGGCTCACATCTATAATCCCAGCACTTTGGGAGGCCGAGGCGGGTGGATCACCTGAGGTCAGGAGTTTGAGACCAGCCTGACCTACATGGTGAAATCCTGTCTGTACTAAAAATACAAATTAGCTGGGTGTGGTGGTGCCCCCCTGTAATCCCAGCTACTTGAGAGGGTGAGGTAGATGAATCGCTTGAACCTAGGAGGCAGAGATTGCAGTGAGCCAAGATTGCACCATTGCATTCCAGCTTGGGCGACAAGAGTGAAACTCCATCTCAAAAAAAAAAGCCCAGATTGCGTGAATGAGGAAAGAAATTTAAATGTAATCAAAACATTCTCATTTTTCTGTTAAGAAACTTGTATTGTCTAATCTATCCTTCATGATGTATATAAAAATATAAGGCGGCCAGGCGCAGTGCCTCACACCTATAATCCCAGCACTTTAAGAGGTTAAGGCGGGAGGATCACCTGAGGTTGAGAGTTCGAGACCAGCCTGACCAACATGGAGAAACCCCATCTCTACTAAAAATCCAAAATTAACTGGGCGTGATGGCGTGGTGGTGCACATGCCTATAATCCCAGCTACTTGGGAGGCTGAGGCAGAAGAATAACTTGAACCTGGGAGGCAGAGGTTGCGGTAAGCCAAGATTGTGCCATTACACTTCAGCCTGGGCAACAAGAGCAAAACTCCATCTCAATAAATAAATAAATAAATAAATAAATAAATAAATAAATGGCACAAAAGAATGAGTGTTTTAAAATTTTCAAAAATACCTTATGAACAACCATATATAGAGAAAAAAAGAGAGTAGTTACATACAGTAGTTACCCACAGCTGAAAGATGGTATGCTATACATGTATCACTGATTTCTATTTTCTTGACTGTATGCTATGTATTATTTCATACCATGCATCACCGTTCATATTATTTGCATATCTTTAGGAACAAAAATAGAAACTTTCCAAGTTTAAAAACAAATAGGCAAACTCATAAAAGTATTTTCAGGAAATATAGCAACATGTAAAACTTACTTTAGTAATATGTGCATTATACTTTGTAATGTTTCTGTTCAAAGACAAACTATAACTAGACTCTTAGATTTTTGTTAAAAACACTGTGAACCAAAATACAGTTTGTTTTTATAGGTCTTGAATCCATGCCTACATTTACGGGATCACAGTCCAACAGAAACACATTGTTACTCACTGGGAAATAATATTTAATGGCTAAAAAATAAAAGAAAGAAAGAAAGAAAGAAAAATAATCAGTCATGGAGAGAATGGGGAAGAAAAGAAAAATAAACAAAATGATGAGTCAGGGCCAGGCACAGTGGCTCATGACTTCGGGAGGCTGAGATGAGAGAATCACTTGAGCCCAGGAATTCTCTAAAACTGATGTTGTCAACATCAAATGTTAAATATGTTAAATGACATGAAGACTGAGGCTACACATCTTATCTGGTTATGTTTGAAATGGATTTATTATCATCACACTCAATTTGAAAGCAGTCTAAACAGATCATGCCTATTAAAATGTCTTATTAGGGAAATTTACTGCAAATATTCCCATGCTCTAATTCTACACCTCAGTAATTTCTTAATGTGATAGACTCCTAATCCCAGAAGATCTTTAAGTTAAATAACTAGAGGCCAGGTACAGTAGCTCATGCCTATAATAACAGCACTTTGGAATCTGACGTGGGCAGATTGCTTGAGCTCAGGAGACCAGACTGGGCAACATGGCAAAACCTTGTCTCTTCAGAATATATAAAAATTAGCTGGGTATGGTGGTGCACACCTGTAGTCCCAGTTACTTGGGAGGCTGAAGTGGGAGGATCGCTTACAACCAGGAAGCAGAGATTGCCAGTGATCTGAGATCACACCACTGCACTCCAGCCTGTGAAATAGAGTGAGACCCTGTCTCAAAAAAAAAAAAAAGTAACTGTTTATTATAAAAAGTTCAGGTATAAATTAATCAGAAATTAGCTCTATAATTTGATATAAATAAAGCTACATGCAATAATATCACCAAAGAAAGAACCTAGCATGAAAATATTAACTAAATGGTTAGGTTTCAAAGACACTTTGAATTCTGGATATCTCAACTCAAAGAATCCCAATAATACATTAAATTCCTTGGATCCTCACTGAAAGTGAGAAACTCATTTCTAAGCATATGTGCACAAGTACCTTAGCCTCTTCATGCCTGCTTGCCTGTCCCACAGTCAGAGAAGGCAGGATATTTGGTTAGGCATATGTTTACGAGTACAGATAGGAAAATTCCAACTTTAAAACCAAATATTTTCCTTGTTTAATTCTGGTATCTTATTGGTCCATATGCTGCCTCCTCCTCACAGTATGGTATCCAAATCTCCTAGATTGTGACTTTCTTTTAAAACATAATGATAACATCAAGCAGACAGAATTGAAGAGTGGAAATACTATATGAGAAAGCAGAGCAAAACAGATGATGCTCTAAATGCACACTGACACACTTGCTGAAGACATTAGGTGCTCCATAAATGCTTGCTGAAATGCTGTTTGTCAACATTTGTTGTGAAAAATTCATCTCTCTCTAATTTAAAAATCCTCATAAGTTAACCACAACCAGTTCTACATAATTTAATGGAAAACATCTGGTGGCACTTTTTTTTTTTGGAGACAGAGTTTCACTCTTGTTACCCAGGCTGGAGTGCAATGGCGCGATCTCGGCTCACCGAAACCTCCGCCTCCTGGGTTCAAGCAATTCTTCTGCCTCAGCCTCCTGAGTAGCTGGGACTACAGGCACGCGCCACCATGCCCAGCTAATTTTTTGTATTTTTTTTAGTAGAGACGGGGTTTCACCACGTTGACCAGGATGGTCTCGATCTGTTGACCTCGTGATCCACCCGCCTCGGCCTCCCAAAGTGCTGGGATTACAGGTGTGAGCCACCGCGCCCGGCCTGGTGGCACTTTTAAATGTTTAAGGACAACATTTCACAAACTATGCCTGCCCCAGCCCCACTGCAGCAGGAGAAAATGAGGCTAAGGAGAAAAGCAAGATGAGTATCGGGAGAGCCCTAAATATGTAAATCATTTGTTTATCCATAACTGGTCTATATTCTCAGATTTTCTAAAAACTGCCCCATCCTTTTTTTTTTTTTCATTTTAGCTTAAGTTAGCTGGATTTTAGTTTCTGTAATTTGCAAACAAATACTAGTATAGAGTGCCTGTCCAGTGCAAAAGAAAATCTTGTCTCTCCTCCACAATGTCCATATGTATAACAGAATCACACCAATGTCCTTTCATGGTAATTGATAAGGTGACCACGATAATGAGGAAAAGAAACAGGTTTGAAAAATAACCACAATCCCTCTTAGAAACAATATAAATTTAAAAAATTTTGAGAAGTTATTCAGTAAAGAAACTTCTTTAACTCAGTTGAACTCACATTTATAAATCATATTTGAGCATGGAATCTTTTTAAATGAACTTCTAATGTCTTTGAGAACTACTAACTGGTAGAGCACAGTTTGAGAAATGCTAGTTGGAAACATGACCAGGATTCCTTAGATCTAGCATATGAAGAAAAATGGAAACAATCATTCCTATCCACTTCCTCATATACTAAAAATTTTAAATATAATGGGAGATCACAGAACTCAATTTTGAATGTAAAAGTAACATTCTAGATTGAGAAACTTACCTGCATTGAAATAAGAATAAAATCAATCAGGCTCCCAATTCCACAAAATCCAACAGTGCAAAACTTTAACAAACCTAGAAAAGAAGGTAAAGTCATTTATACTCCAGGAAGTCTTCTAAATATCAACAAATTGTTCCATTTTCCAATAAACCATTATATATATCACAAGCTTTCTATATCAAGAACATAAAAGTTACAATTTAAAAAATCAAATCTTCACCTGAAAATGAGAAAAGTTTAAAGGAACCCTCTACATAAAAATGCCAAAATGTAATTTATTAATTCTCTTAACAAATAAATATTAGTAACTGAAAAAAAAAACCTCAATATAATCTAACGAAATGTCTAAGAGAAAAGGCCTAAGGAAGTAATCTTTAAATCTCAACACACTAGAGATACAAAACATCTTTCAGTCCTAAAATCCTTAATTACTTATTTAGACTTCATACGTTATATGACCCAAAATTTACTATACATTTGCAGAGTTCAAATATATAAACTGTCATGCCAAAAAAATAATCAGGAAAAAACACTGATCTTGTTGTAAAATTGCAAAATTTTATTATCAATCCAATCACCTTTAATTCATCCTATATATTTATTTTTCCTACATATCTCCTGTTTATTAGCTCTATAATCAAAATCAACAATTCTGTGCTGAGCACTACATACAGCTTTGTCCTTGGTCCCAACCCAAGAGCTAAGATGCTAAAATAGATGATAACAGAGTATCTAATATAGGACATCTACAACAATATAACTCAAAAACATGATTGTAAGAGGCAGACTGAGGGTGGGCTGGGGATGGGATGATTAATCTCTTATGAATTTAAACTTGAATTTCTTACAAGACATCTCCTATGAGATGTAAAAATGGTATAAGACAAGACTCTTGGTGAAAATGTAGTTCCATATATCAACTACAAATAGATGCCAGCTAAAAAGCCTAAGAGAGGATGAGATCGCCTCCCACAATCTGGGAATACACAAATAAGACTGAACTATGTAGGGACATTAGATGATTTTTCCCCCCACATATAGCAGAATTGTAAGTACAGAAATAATATATGGCAATAAGTTAATAACTATTAAAATACAGAGATAAGGCCGGGCGCGGTGGCTCAAGCCTGTAATCCCAGCACTTTGGGAGGCCGAGGCGGGTGGATCACGAGGTTGAGAGATCGAGACCATCCTGGTCAACATGGTGAAACCCCGTCTCTACTAAAAATACAAAAAATTAGCTGGGCATGGTGGCACGTGCCTGTAATCCCAGCTACTCAGGAGGCTGAGGCAGGAGAATTGCCTGAACCCAGGAGGCGGAGGTTGCGGTGAGCCGAGATCGCGCCATTGCACTCCAGCCTGGGTAACAAGAGCGAAACTCCGTCTCAAAAAAAAAAAAAAAAAAAAAAAAAAAAATACAGAGATAATTAAAAATTTTGCTTTTAGTTTCCTCAAAACATTTATTACTTAACATTTTATCTTCGATTGCTATCTATCACACATAAGCCCCATTAGGGCAGTGCCCTTTATCTGTTTTCTTTATTCCTGTATCCTTAGTGCCAACAACATTGCCTGGCATATTGTAAATGCTTAATATCTGCTAAATAAATTGATAAATCTTCTCATATTTCTGTTTCCCAAACACTCCCATCATTTTATCCATTACTCCTTAGTTTTTTTCATTAGCTGCACAGTACTACAGCAGCCCAAAAAAAAATTATCTGCTGACATTTTATCCACTCATGGCTCATGCCTATAATCCCAGCACTTTGGGAGGCCGAGGTGGGTGAATCAGCTGAGGTCAGGAGTTCGAGACCAGCAAGTCTAACCTGGAGAAACCCTGTCTCTACTAAAATTATAAAAATTAGCTGGGCATGGTGGTGGGTGCCTGTAACCCAGTTACTCGGGAGGGTGAGGCAGCAGAATCACTTGAACCCAGGAGGTGGAGGTTGCAGTAAGCTGAAATTGCACCACTGCACTTCAGCCTGGGTGACAAAGGGAGGCTTTGTCTCCAAAAAATAGAGAGAGAGACAGAATATTAAGTGTGATCCTTCTAGAGTTGTTTTTGACTGCTAGTCCATGAAGAATAGGTAATCACATCAGGGCCTTTGCTTTTTTTGTGCCATTTTCCAAGGATGTTCTTCCTTTAGGCCACTTCTTCAGAGAAGTCTTCCCTAACCTGCCTATCTGAAGCAGCATGTCACCCCATTCCTGCCCCATAACCCATTATGCCCGGCTAGTTTTTAACTTTTTTGTAGAGGACAGGGTCTCACTATGTTGCCCAGGCTGGTCTTGAACTCCTGGGACCAGGTGATCCTCCTGCTTTGGCCTCCCAAAATCCTTGGGTTACAGGCTATCACACCTGACCTAAATTTCTTTTTTCTTTTTATTTTTTTTCTCAGACCTCTCAGGGATGAGTAAAGCTTTTGATTATAATAACTGTAGTAGGAGAAATCGTGACAACAAAAGCAGTAGCTAGGCTAACATTTATTAAATGTATCTTACCTTATTTAATTCTTATTGCCATTCCTATCTTTGTTCATAAAGTATTTTTATATTTGAAAACTTAAAACAAGTTTAAGGTGGCATTATTGGAAACCTCATTACTAAAATCATCTTTTGCCTTAAATTTGTAGAAATAGATGGACCATAGGATAGGTAACATTATACATCTGGAGTAAGATACGCTGTAAGTCACTGTAACTGATTAAACTTTCAAGTTTTTTTTTAACAGTCAACTGGTTAAGTCTAAATGTGTTACTCCAGGATTTTCTTTCTTCTCTTTCCTTCCTTCTTTCCCTCTTTCTTTTTCTTTCTCCTTCTTTCTTCCTTCCCTTCCTTCTTTCCTTTGCAGGCGTCTCACTATTTCCAAGGGTCTCACTGTGTTGCCTAGGTTGGTCTTGAACTTCTAGCCTCAAGTGATACTCCTGCCTCCCAAAATGTTGAAATTATAGGTGTGAGTCACCAAACCCAGCCCCTTGATTTTTTAAAACAGCTTTATTGCGCTACAAATGACATACATTAAAATGACATACATCGTACATATTTAAAATGTACAATTTGATAAATTTGACACTTGTATAAAACCTGTGAAACAATCACTATAATAAAAAAAAGACCATTTCTGTCACCCCCAAGTTTCCTCATGCCCCCTTTGTAATTTGTTTCTTGTCTCTCCTTCTACCCGTCTTTCCCCAGCAAGCACTTATCTGCTTTCTGTCATTATAAATTAGTTTGTCAGTTCCCTAAACTTTTAAATATCATCTCTGATCTGTTCTCTAGTTTCCTTAAACCTATTACTTCAGGAGTAGGTGGTATTTACCAGAGTTCCGAACACAGATATTATTCCCTTATCTTTTATCTTAGCAGAAACCTCTCATGTTCATTTTTGTGAAGCATCCTTAAGAAGGAGTTCTGTAGCATAATATCTAGATTTTCTTGAATTTATCCTCTTACTCTGCTATGGGTGTTATTACATTACTTTGCCAATAAACATACTTCTATATCAGGAGGCTGAGGCAGGAGAATTGCCTGAACCCAGGAGGCGGAGGTTGCAGTGAGCCGAGATCGCGCCATTGCACTCCAGCCTGGGCAACAAGAGCGAAACTCCGTCTCAAAAAAAAAAAAAATACTTCTATATCATTGTTTTAAATGGCTGCATAGTATTCTGTTGTGTTACACATTGTCTCTTAATTTTTTGAGACAGTTCCTCCCTTTTGAACATTTAGCTTCTTTCTAGTTTTTTTGATATTTATATGACAAATATTTATCACCATATTACAGTTAAGTTCTGTTCAGGACACCAACTTACATACAGATAAGGCCTCTGCCTTTAAGAATGGGCCGGGCACGGTGGCTCACGCCTGTAATCCCAGCACTTTGGGAGGCCGAGGCAGGTGGATCACGAGGTTGAGAGATCGAGACCATCCTGGTCAACATGGTGAAACCCCGTCTCTACTAAAAATACAAAAAATTAGCTGGGCATGGTGGCACGTGCCTGTAATCCCAGCTACTCAGGAGGCTGAGGCAGGAGAATTGCCTGAACCCGGGAGGCAGAGGTTGCGGTGAGCCGAGATCGCGCCATTGCACTCCAGCCTGGGTAACAAGAGCGAAACTCCGTCTCAAAAAAAAAAAAAAAAAAAAAGAATGTACATTCCAGGCCAAGCGCGGTGGCTCACACCTGTAATCCCAACACTTCAGGAGGCCAAGGCAGGTGATTACCTGAGGCTGGGAATTTGAGACCAGCCTGACCAACATGGAGAAACCCTGTATCTACTAAAAATATAAAATTAGCCAGGTATGGTGGCACATGCCTGTAATCGCAGCTACTCAGGAGGCTGAGGCAGGAGAATCACTTGAACCCGGGAGGCAGAGGTTGCGGTGACCCAAGATCACGCCTCTGTGCTCCAGCCTGGGCAACAAGAGCAAAACTCCGCCTCAAAAAAAAAAAAAATTCCAAAGGAAGACAGACAGTGAATAAATAAACAAACCCCTGAGGCTAACAGATTTATAATTAGCAGTATGAAGAAAAAAAGCTATATATAAATAGGACTACTGCTTTTCATAACTATGAAGAAAGATTAAATAAGATTAGTTTTAAAACAGGATTTTTTTTTCTTTTTTCTTAATGGGATCTCACTATGTTACTGTGTTGTCTCTGCTGACCTCAAACTCCTGCCTCACGCAATCCCCCCACCTCAGCTTCTTGAGCAGCTGAGTCTATAGGCATACATCACTGCACCGAGTAAAAAATGAAATTTTAGGCCGGGCGCGGTGGCTCAAGCCTGTAATCCCAGCACTTTGGGAGGCCGAGGCGGGTGGATCACGAGGTCGAGAGATCGAGACCATCCTGGTCAACATGGTGAAACCCCGTCTCTACTAAAAATACAAAAAACTAGCTGGGCGTGGTGGTGCGTGCCTGTAATCCCAGCTACTCAGGAGGCTGAGGCAGGAGAATTGCCTGAACCCAGGAGGCGGAGGTTGCGGTGAGCCGAGATCGGGCCATTGCACTCCAGCCTGGGTAACAAGAGCGAAACTCCGTCTCAAAAAAAAAAACAAAAAAAAAAACAACAAAAAAAAAACAAAAAAAAATGAAATTTTAGATTTTGTCTATAACTACTTTCATTCCAGTCAACACTGTATTATGTAGTTAAGAATTTTTTTTTAAGGCAGCTATCATTTAAAACAAAAAGGCCTAAATTACTTAACCTTGGATTCTTAATAAAAATTAAACTGTATTTAAAATATTAAAAAAGTTTAAATTGGCCAGGCACTATGGCTCATCCCTGTAATCCCAGCACTTTGGGAGGCTGAGGTGGGAGGACAGCTTGAGCCCAGGAGTTCAAGACCAGCGTGTGTAACACGGCGAAATCCCGTCTCTACAAAAAATACAAAAATAAAGCCAGGCATAGTGGTGCATGCCTGCAGTCCCAGCTACTTGGTGCAGGACTGAGGACGGAGCATACCTTGAGCCCAGGAGGTCAAGGTTGCAGTGAGCCATGATGATACCACTTCACTGCAGCCTGGGCAACAGAGTGAGACCCTGTCACAAAAGAAAAAAAGAAAAAAGAAAGGAAAAGAAAAGTTATTGCTTCTGATACCTAAAAGGTAACTTCTGATATCTAAAGGGACCCAACTCCATAGCAAGATACTCAAAGCATTTTATACTCACAGACTACATCTCTAGGCAGTGTCACCTGCTGCATCGTTCTTCCTATACTTTCGGCGAAATTATCCCCCAATCTCTCAATGCACACCTATGCTCTTTCATACCCTTTACACATGCTGTTGTCTGCAATGCCTTAAACCTCTGTAATCTCTTCATCCTTCAAAGCCTGGCTCGAAGGTCACCACACCTAAGAACTTCCTTCAGTCAACTGCATCAGTCCCTTTTCTATATTCTGACAGCACTGTGTTATGGTTGTTACAGTGCTGCATCATAAATTGGCCTAATATATTTATTTTATTTTTAACCAGTATACACTGTGACGGTCATTATTTCCCTGTCATTTAGTTATTTAAACGTTGAATATATGTTTAATTAAATAAACAAGTATATATAGTACTTTATAACCTTTACTTATGAACTTATAACACTGAGTTTTAGTACAGCTGTCAGAAATACACCTACCACCAACCCCACAGTAAACACTTCTCTTTGATCTTTTGTGAGTAGCAACATGGAAGAAATAAGGTTAGCTTTGCTAGCTAGAAGGCAAAGCATACAAAAACTTTAAATTTGCTCAGTGAAGGGCTAATATAGAAGCAGAGTAGTACAGTAAATAAAACACGATCTCCAGAGCCAGAAGATTTTGGTTCAAATTGAGGTCACTAGCTGAGTGTCCTTGGGTAAATCTCTTAATCTCATGACAATTTTCCTATCTATAAAACAAGATGATAACAACACATATGTCACAGAATAAAGAAAAGACTCTAGACTCAGTAAATCCCTTAACCTCTCCAGTGACAGTTTCCCTACCTGTTAAAGAGGATTTAAAGAGGATGATAAACTCAGAGGGTTGTAAGGCTCCAATAAGAGCAGGCATGTGAAAGTACTGTTTAAACAAAACCTAAGGTAAAACGTAAATAGTTTTTATAGGCATTAGTAACTGATAAATGTGATTACAGAAGGAAGACATAGAGAGGGAGGCTAAGGGCAACAGAAGTCAGGCTCCCACCCCCAGCTCAAGTTGGAACCAAACTTCCAACCCCAACTTGTTCTGAAAGAAGTGCGTAGTTTCTAATCCCAGGGCAATGATGAAAGAGATTGGGGTAGAAGGGAATATTTTTTGTAGGGGTAGAGGATATACATTTATTCATAAAACATTTACTAAGCATCCAGTGTGTGGCCAGCACCAAGAGTGACAGTTCCAGTGTACCATCTTAAGTAATTGCCTACACCATCTTGCGTGTGTTTTCATAAAGGTGAAAACAGGAAAAGTCAGTATTTCTTACCTAAGCTGAACTGCTGGGCTAATTGATAGCTCTATATTCACTGAAGAATGTTAACTACAACTCCAACTATATCGTACTTATAATGTGCGAAGATTTAATCTATAAGAACACATACAATGAACTAGAATGCAGGTTTCATGGCTGGGCACGGTGGCTCACGCCTATAATCCAAGCACTTTGGAGGCCAAGGTGGGCGGATCACCTGAGGTCGGGAGATCAAGACCAGCCTGACCAACATGGTGAAACCCTGTCTTTAAAAAAAAAAAGAAAGAAAGAAAAAAAAAAAAGAATGTAGTTTTCATAAGGATTTCTTTTTAACGAAACATACTCACCCAAGGCAGGGTATCCAAGGTAAAATCGATCTGCTCCCAACCATCCAAGAAAAAGAGACAACGCAACTGCCACTTTGTATGAATAGCCATTTCTGCAAAAAATTAAAACCTGAGTGTCATAGGCATATATTTCCAATGTGAACATTTTAGAAAACAAAATTATTAACTGCTACTTATTTATTAATTGGTTCATTCATTCATTCATTCAATTAATGTTTTTTGGATGCCTACTGTGTGTCAGGCACTATTCTAGGGTACTGAATATATTAATGAATAAAAGCAACAGAGATCCCTATCTCCATGGAGCTTACAGCCTAGTGATAACAAGCAATAAACACAAACATATTTAAAAAGTAAATTATATACCATGTTAGAAAGTCATAAATGTTATGAAAAAAAGCAGAGCAAGCTGTGTAGAATGCCAGGAGCCATTTAAATTGGGTGGTAGAAATAGGCCGCAGTGGTATTTGAGCAGAGACCTGAGGAAAGTGAGTGAGATGCCATGACATGCTTCTGAGGAAAGAGTGTCACAGGCGAAAGAAACAGCTTGGTGCAAAGGCAGCATACCTAAAATGTTTGAGGCCAGTGTAGCAGGAGAGTGAGAGAAAGGAAAGAATATGAGCAGATGAGGTCAGAGAAGTAATGGAGGGTGGAGGAAGCAGATCACATGGTGCTTTGTATATCACTGTAAATACTCTTTTACTCTAAGAGAAATGGGAAGCTACTCAAGGATCTTAAGTAAAGGTGTGACATAATCTGATTCAGATTTTTAAAATATCACTCTGGCTGCTGTGCTGCAAAGAAACTATAGGGAGTATTTGTCAACTATTGCTACAATTATGTTGTATAACAAACTACCCCAAAACTCAGTGGCTTACAATAAGGTACTATTCTCACACTTACAGACTACAGATTGTTTGTGGTTCAATGGACCTAGGCTGGTTCAGCTAGGAGATTCTGCTTCAGGCTAAGGTTTGGCTGAGCTTGGATCAGGGCTGTAAATTCAGTTCAAGTCAGTTCTACTTAAATTTTCCTAGAGACTAAGCTTAAGATGTAGCAGCTAGTTGAGGCAAGTTCTTTTCAGGACATACCATCTAGTACGAAAGGAAAGCTAAGGCTGGGTGTGGTGGCTGACGCCTGTAATTCCAGCACTTTGGGAGGCCGAGGTGGTCAGGACACCTGAAGTCAGGAATTCGAGACCAGCCTGACCAACATGGAGAAACCCGTCTGTACTAAAAAAAATACAAAAATTAGCTGGACATGGATGCACATGCCTGTAAGTCCAACTACTCGGGAGGTTGAGGCAGGAGAATCGCTTGAACCCGGGAGGCAGAGGTTGCAGTGAGCCAAGATCGCGCCATTGCACTCTAGCCTGGGCAACAGGAACGAAACATCAACTCAAAAAAAAAAAAAAAGAGGCTGGGCGCGGTGGCTCAAGCCTGTAATCCCAGCACTTTGGGAGGCCGAGGTGGGTGGATCACGAGGTCAAGAGATCGAGACCAACGTGGTCAACATGGTGAAACCCCGTCTCTACTAAAAATACAAAAAATTAGCTGGGCATGGTGGTGCGTGCCTGTAATCCCAGCTACTCAGGAGGCTGAGGCAGGAGAATTGCCTGAACCCAGGAGGCGGAGGTTGCGGTGAGCCGAGATCGCGCCATTGCACTCCAGCCTGGGTAACAAGAGTGAAACTCCGTCTCAAAAATAATAAAAAAATAAAAAAATAAAAAAATAAAAAAATAAAAATAAATAAAAAAGAAAGAGAGAGAGAGAGAGAAGAAACAAGGGGATAAGCATCAGAACACCATGCCTTTCTTGGACATGCAGAAAAGGTTTTCAGCCTTAACCAAGATCGGTGGTGGACAATCCAAAGTGCTGAACAGCCCTACAAGTTTCCTGCTCGGTGCCATGCTTTTGAAAAAGAATGGATAGAATGTGGACATGGAATCGGTACTGTCCGAGCAGAGAAAGAGTGTAAGATAGAATATGATGATTTCATAGAGTGTATATATACTTTGGTATAAAACGATGAAACGTATGAATACCATCTGGAAGCAACGAGATAAAACTGATAAAGGAGTGAAGTACACCCCTCCACCTCACCACATGGGCAAGGGGAGCCTCAGCCCTGAGCAGACACAGCTACTGACATCTGGAGGCTGATTTTCATGTTCTCTGTTCTCCACTGGAAAGGTTGTTTATGGAAAACCTCCTTGTCAAAGTGTGTAAAAATAAAGTATTGCTCCATCCAAAAAAAAAACGAAAGCTAAATCCCACAAACACGTCTGCTTGTTTTGCACCTGCTAACATTACACAGGCCAAATTAAGTCACACAACCACACCCAAAAAACCAATGGAGTGTGAAGTACAGACTGCCCGATTGACAAGGAGTGAGAGAGATGACTATTTGCTGAACAAATTCAAACTATCACAGGAAAAAAAGAGTTTGAAGGCTACTGCAATAATCCAAGTGAGAATTGACAGTGGCTTGACCCAGAGTAGTAACAAAGAAAATAATGAAAAGTGATCACACTCTGGATATGTTCTAAAGTACAGCCAACTGGATTTCTTGATGTATTAGATTTAGGGTGTGACAAAAAGAATGGAGTAAAGATAGCACAAAATATTTTATCCTAAACAACTAGAAGGATGTAGTTAACATTAATTGAGTTCGTGAAGGCTAAGGACGGATGGATCTTGGATATCTGAGCTGAGCTGTCCAACAGACAGCTGGGTTTACAAATCTCAAATTAGGGAGAGAAGCGTAGGCTACAGATAAAAATTAAAGACTTAAAAGCATACAGAAAGTGTTTAAAGTTTGCCGGGTATGGTGGTTCATGCCTGTAATTCCAGCACTTTGGGAGGCCGAGGCAGGAGGATCACTTGAGACCAGGAGTTCAAGACAAGCCTAGGCAACATAGTGAGACCCTGCTCTATTTAAAAAAAAAAAAAAAAAAAAAAAAAAAAAAAAGCCGGGCGCGGTGGCTCAAGCCTGTAATCCCAGCACTTTGGGAGGCCGAGGCGGGTGGATCACGAGGTCGAGAGATCGAGACCATCCTGGTCAACATGGTGAAACCCCGTCTCTACTAAAAATACAAAAAACTAGCTGGGCGTGGTGGCGCGTGCCTGTAATCCCAGCTACTTAGGAGGCTGAGGCAGGAGAATTGCCTGAGCCCAGGAGGCGGAGGTTGCGGTGAGCCGAGATCGCGCCATTGCACTCCAGCCTGGGCAACAAGAGTGAAACTCCGTCTCAAAAAAAAAAAAAAAAAAAAAAAAAAAAAAAGGAAAATATTTAAAGTTATGAGATTGCCATATGAATATAGATAGAAAAAAAAGAGAGATCCAAAGGCTCACCCAGAGGTTCTCCAATATTAAGAGACTAAGGAGAAGAGAAGAAATCAGAAAGAAGGCTAAGGAGCTGTTTCTAACAGTAAAGAAGTGAAACTAGAAGAGTACGGTATCCTGGAAGTCAAGAGAAGATAGTGTATTTAGGAGAAAAGAGTGATTAACTGTGCCAAATGTGCCTGGTGGGTCATATACCATGTCTGATAATTTAATAAAAATTTTAAGAAATCACTAGTGAGGCCGGGCGCGGTGGCTCAAGCCTGTAATCCCAGCACTTTGGGAGGCCGAGGCGGGTGGATCACGAGGTCGAGAGATCGAGACCATCCTGGTCAACAAGGTGAAACCCCGTCTCTACTAAAAATACAAAAAGTTAGCTGGGCATGGTGGTGCGTGCCTGTAATCTCAGCTACTTAGGAGGCTGAGGCAGGAGAATTGCCTGAGCCCAGGAGGCGGAGGTTGCGGTGAGCCGAGATCGTGCCATTGCACTCCAGCCTGGGTAACGAGAGCGAAACTCCGTCTCAAAAAAAAAAAAAAAAATAAATAAAAAAATAAAGAAATCACTAGTGATCTTAGCCTGAGCAACTGTGGTGATACAGTGAGGGCATAAGACAGAAAAGAGTGAGCTTAAGAAACCATGGGAGAGCTGGGCACAGTAGCATGTTCCTACAGTCTCAGTTACTTGGGAGGCTGAGTGGGGAGAATTGTTTGTGGCCAAGAAATCAAGGTTGCAGTATGCTATGATAGTGTCTGCGAATGGCCACTGCAGTCCAGTTTCCTGGGCAGCATAGCAAGTTCCCTGTCTCTAAAAAAAATTTTTAAATAAAAAATAATTAATATATTAAAAATAAAAGTATGAGAGAAAAATAATTTATTAGATAACTTTTTGGGTTTGAGACGGCGTCTCACTCTGTTGCCCAGGCTGGAGTACAGTGGCAAGATATTGGCTCAAGGCAACCTCCACCTCCCAGGTTCCAGCAATTCTCCTGCGTCAGCCTCCCAAGTGGCCGGGACTGCAGGTGTGCACCACCACACTCCGCTAACTTTTGTATTTTTAATAGAGAAAGGGTTTCACTATTTTGGCAAGCTGATTTCAAACTCTTGAACTCAGGTGATCCACCCACCCCGGCCTCCCAAAGAGACAGCCATAACTATCATTTTGAAGTCAAATTTCATCATGTAAGAGCTCTGCTTATAATCCTGTTTTGGTTTTGTGATTGTTTTTTTCCTGCATTGCCCTCCATATTTGTAGGGAGTTAGGAAAAGCAGAGAAATAACTTAGAACCCAATGCAAAAACTCAAGCTGTAATCTAATGGGTAGTAACAGTGGGAGAAAGAAGTGAGCAAATTTGGGAAATATTAACAAAGCAAAAGCAAACAATCGGCCGGGCGCGGTGGCTCAAGTCTGTAATCCCAGCACTTTGGGAGGCCGAGGCGGGTGGATCACGAGGACGAGAGATCGAGACCATCCTGGTCAACATGGTGAAACCCCGTCTCTACCAAAAATACAAAAAATTAGCTGGGCATGGTGGCACGTGCCTGTAATCCCAGCTACTCAGGAGGCTGAGGCAGGAGAATTGCTTGAACCCAGGAGGCGGAGGTTGCGGTGAGCCGAAATCGCACCATTGCACTCCAGCCTGAGTAACAAGAGCGAAACTCCGTCTCAAAAAAAAAAAAAAAAAAAAAAAAAAGCAAACAAGCTACATGTGGGGAATGGGGAAAAAGGAGAAGTCAAAAGAAGACTCTAAGACCGGCCAGTGGCTCATGTCATAATCCCAGCACTTTGGGAGGCCAAGGCAGGTGGATAACCTGAGGTCAGGAGTTCGAGACCAGCCTGGCCAACATGGTGAAAGCCCGTCTCTACTAAAACTACAAAACTTAGCCGGATGTGGTGGCAAGTACCTGTAATCCCAGCTACTCAGGAGGAATAGTCTAATGGTGGTTTCTTTTTTTTTTTTTTCCCCCTTTTTAAGGTTCAATTCATCTGTACAGTGGTTTATTTCTTGAAACAACTAAAACTAAGTGCCATTAAATAGAATGTAACAATAAACATTTTTAGGCTGAAAATATAATGTCAACAATTAAAAATAGATAAAACTAAATCACGTTTTTAATACAATGCAGAAATGTAAGAATAATAAGCTTTAACAGAAATAGATATCAATCTTCAAAATTCTTTTTTAAAAAATTTCAATTTTAATGCTTTTAGAGACAGGGTCTCACTTGGTTATTGCAATCATAGCTCACCACAACTTCGAACTCCTGGGTTCAAGCAATTCTCCACCCTGCCTCCCAGTGGCAAGGACCACAGGCAAGCACCACCTCACCGGGCTGATTTTTGTATTTTTTGTAGAGACAGGGTCTCCCTACTTTTCACAGGCTGTCCCCAACTCCTGGCCTCAAGTGATTCTCCTGCCTTGGCCTCCCAAAGTGCTGGGATTATAAGTGTAAGCCACTGCAGTAGGCCTAAAGTCCTTTAAATAGAGAAATTCCTAAGAAAAGAAAGCCATCTGTCTTACTATTCCAAACTAATCATTTTTGTTGTTGTTTTTATAAAAGACAGTGTCTCACTATATTGCTCAGGGTGAACTTCCGGCCTCCTCTGGCCTCAGCCTTTTGAGTAGCTAGGACTAAAGGCATGTATCACTGTGCCCAGCTAGCCAAACTGACAACTTTGAATTCTGTTTAACATTACCGTTCATCATCCATAGTTATTACAAAGAATAAAACCAAGTTTAAAATGCCCTTTATGTGCAAATAATTAATTTGTATTTTTCTGATATAATATGTACACAATCACTATTTGTACTGTAGAAAAATCCTGTATTTTGAAGACAATTTTTTCGTAACTCAATTAGTGGCACAAACTGACTGACCTGAATTAACATGGCATGAGGCCATTGATACTCTTTATTTATCCCACATACTAACTACTCAGGTCAACTTGATTGGTGAACTGCATTTATTAAAAAACTCACACACACACAGTTGGCTGGGTGTGGTGGGTCATGCCTGTAAATCCCAGCACTTTGGGAGGCTGAGGTGGGAGGATCACGTGAGGCTAGGAGTTCAAGACCAGCCCTGGGTAACATAGGGAGACCTCGTCTCTAACAAAGTATTTTAAAATTAGCCAGGCATGGTGATACAAACCTGTAGTCCAGCTACTTGGGGGGCTGAGGTGGAAGGGCTGCTTGAGCCTGGGAGGTTGAGGTTGAAGTGAGACATGCTATGCCACTGCACTCCAACCTGGGTCATTGAGCAAGACCTTGTCTCAAAAACTAAAAAACAAACACTTAAAATAGAAGTTTTCTGATACAAGCAAAAAGATAAAAGATACATTTTCAGGATATTCCCCATAAATTATCTCATCTCTTTACTCTATGTAATCAAGATACAATACAGGCAAGTAATCTGAAAATTTAAGTTTCAGTAATGTACTTACACATTTCGGCAAGATATGGGCTTGAAAAAACCAACTTCATTCCCAGTAAAATGTGTTTCATTGCCACTAGAATCCTTACAAGTTATGTTGGGTGCTGGAAAACATGAAACTGAAGGCAGAAAAAGTCAAGAAACTGTTACTTTTTTTTTTTTCTGTAGAAATAGCATGTAATTGTTCTAGGACTAGCAAATATGTTATAACAAACTACATCCCAAGATAACATGACACAAGCTTTTAATTTTAGATAGGAAAAGTGACATTACATATGTACTTATATGCAAGATGAATATAAAATGGTATAGCAGTCTCATAATACAAAAATACAAGAATTGTCACACTGGATTAGATTCGTGGCTAATCTAATTCAATCTCCTGCCTCTGACAAAGGTAACAAAGGAAGAATTGCACAATGTTACTGCCCTTTACTTCATCTCCAGAATTAAGAATGCCTCTCAAATTTTTGTTGGAATTCAATGGGCAATTTATCTATTAAATTATTTTAACATAATCTAAGTTTGTATTTTTAGCTTATATCAACTATTATAGACAATTACTGCCACAAATTATTTTCATTCATTCTATATGTATTTGTTTCTCAATTCCCTCTAGGGTTTGATACAGATTATTTCAGAACTTAAGCAATCTTGAGCTTTCCTCATAACTCAAATGACAACATAAGAGGAAGCAACACTTACAGACCCAGACAAGCACTGCCTTCACAGCTTTATAGCCTCGTGGTGTAAAGAACGAGACCTTTGGAATGACAACCTACCTGGACATTGCTCCTTTCAGAACTTTGGATTCTTTATAGGTAAAAATAGTACTAAAGGAGCCGGGCGTGGTGGCCATGCCTATAATCCCAGCACTTTGGGAGGCTGAGGTGGGCAGATTAGGAGTTCAAGAGCAGCCTGGGCAACATGGCGAAACTCCATCCTTACAAAAAATAAAATAAAATAATTGGTTGGGTGTGGTAGTGCTCACCTGTAGTCAGAAGGCTGAGGCAGACCCAGGAGGTTGAGGCTGCAGTGAGCCGTGATCATGCCACTGCACTCCAGCCTGGGCAACACAGTAAGACCATCTCAAAAAACAAAAAAAAAAAAAAAAAGGAAAATACAAAGAGATGTTGCAAAACTTAACAGACAATTGATACATAGCTATTTGGCTACCTGCCTTGGCACAGGGATAAAATTTGACTTTTGTAAATGAATTACTATCATATCCCTTAGATTATATTTCTTGAAAATCTTCCAACTTAGATCATCCTTTTGATTAGCTATAAAGCAGACAACTCAAAACTGAGGTTAGCGAATGTCTGAAATGCTGATATAAATTCTATGTCACTGAAAGGAGATCAACATGGTTTTAGATCAGTCATTCTTTTTTTTTTTAAGAGATAGGAGGAGTTTTCTATGTTGGCCAGGCTGGAACTCGTGGCCTCAAGTGATTTTTCTGCCTCAGGCACTCAAAGTACTGGTATTACAGGCGTAAGCCACTGTAATGTTACTGGCCCTAAATCAGTAAAATCAGTAATTCTTAACTGGGGGCATTTTTGCCCCCCAGAGGACTTTTGGCAAGGTCTGGAAACATTTTTGGTTGTCACTAGGGAGATGCTACGGGCATCTAGTGAGTAGAGACCAGAGATACTCAAAAACATCCTACAGTGCGTAAGACAGCCTCCCCACAACAATGAATTACCCAGTCCAAAATAGCAATAGCACTGAGGCTAAGAAACTCTGCTCTAGATCACTCATCTTCAAAAAAATTCTGCACATACACCTGCTATAAATTAAATTTTTATAAGCCATATATGCCCTCACACATTTAAGCAGACATCTAAAAAATAATTTATTTTTTTGAGACAGAGTCTCGCTCTGTCACCAGGCTGAAGTGCGGTGCCTCATGGCAACCTCTGCCTCCTAGGTTCAAGTGAGTCTCCTGCCTCAGCCTCCTGACTAGCTGAGAATATAGGTGTGCACCACCATGCCTGGCTAATTCTTATATTTTTAGTAGAGACGGGGTTTCACCATATTGGCCAGGATAATCTCGATCTCTTGATCTTGGGATCTGCCTACCTCAGTCTCCCAAAATGCTAAGATTACAGGCGTGAACCACTGCACCAGGCCTAAAATTTTTCATCATGAATTTAAATGGTTGCAAAAACATGTAATTTCCAGTTTGTTTATTTATTGAAACTGAGTCTCACTCTACGGCATAGGTTGGACTGCATGGGTATAATCACTGCAACCTCCATCTCCTAGGTTCAAGCAATTCTTATGCCTCAGCCTCTCCAGAAGTTGGGATTATAGGCACCTGCCACCATGCCCGACTTATTTTTATATTTTTAGTAGAGAAGGGGTTTGACCATGTTGGCCAGGCTGGTCTCGAACTTGGCCTCAAGAAATTCACCCACCTCAGTCTCCCAATAGGTGTGAGCCATTGTACCCAGCCTCCAATATATTTAATACTGTCATTAAAATTAAAATGTTGCCGGGCGCGGTGGCTCAAGCCTGTAATCCTAGCACTTTGGGAGGCTGAGGCGGGTGGATCACGAGGTCAAGAGATCGACACCATCCTGGTCAACATGGTGAAACCCTGTCTCTACTAAAAATACTAAAAATTAGCTGGGCATGGTGGCACGTGCCTGTAATCCCAGCTACTCAGGAGGCTGAGGCAGAAGAATTGCCTGAACCCAGGAGGCGGAGGTTGCGGTGAGCCGAGATCACGCCATTGCACTCCAGCTTGGGCAACAAGAGCGAAACTCCGTCTCAAAAAAAAAAAAAAAAAAAAAAATTAAAATGTTATAGCACTCTTTAAAGTGGAATCTAAAAACAACAGCAATTTGACAGGCATCATGATCCACTGGAGAATAAATATGAAAGAGCTCTTTTCTAAAATTCAACAATTTTACATAAATTTTAGGAAAGGGTACACATTTAAAAGCTGAGAATTGGCTGGGCGTGGTGGCTCACACCTCTAATCACAGCACTTTGGGAGGCTAAGGCAGGCAGATCATTTGAGGTCTTAGCCTGACCAACATGGTAAAAGCCTATCTCTACTAAAAATATAAAAATCAGCAAGATGTGGTGGCACATACCTGTAATCCCAACTATTTGGGAGGCTGAGGCAGGAGAATCACTTGAACCTGGGAGGCGGAGGTTGTAGTGAGCAGAGATGGTGCCACTGCACTCCAGCCCGGGTGAGTGAGACTCCATTTCCAAAAAAAAGGCTGAGAAAATAGACAGGGTGCGGTCTAGGTCGGGTGCGGGTGGCTCATGCCTGTAATCCCAGCACTTTGGGAGGCCCAGGCAGCCGGACTGCTTGAGGCAAGGAGTTCAAGACCAGTCTGGCCAACATGGTGAAACCCATTTCTCCCAAAAATACAAAAAATTAGCCAGCCAGGCATGGTGACATGTGCCTGTGGTCCCAGCTACTCAGAAGACTGAGCCAGGAGAATTGCTGGAGCCTGGGAGATATAGGCTGCAGTAAGCCACAATCATGCCACAGCACTCCAGCCTGGGTAACAGAGTGAGAACCCCATCTCAAAAAAAAAAAAAAAAGGAGCCGGGCACGGTGGCTCAAGCCTGTAATCCCAGCACTTTGGGAGGCCGAGGCGGGTGGATCACGAGGTCAAGAGATCGAGACCATCCTGGTCAATATGGTGAAACCCCGTCTCTACTAAGAATACAAAAAAAAATAGCTGGGCGTGGTGGCGCATGCCTGTAATCCCAGCTACTCAGGAGGCTGAGGCAGGAGAATTGCCTGAACCCGGGAGGCGGAGGTTGCGGTGAGCCGAGATGGCGCCATTGCACTCCAGCCTGGGTAACAAGAGCGAAACTCCGTCTCAAAAAAAAAAAAAAAGGAGTCTTCCAGAATATCTGTAAACACAGGGTTTTTTCCTCAAAAAGTAGCTTTAAATTGTTTCATATCCTCAAGCCAGTAAGTAGATTAAGTGTGCCACAAAGCACAGTATTACTAGATTGTAGTTCATTTTTCTCTAAAAGTATTTATTACCTTGCACTTGCTCAGTCTGAAGCTGCCATTTTCTTGTCATACAGCCTTGTGAGATCTTTCTGCAGATTATCTAAAATCAGGTCTTAAAGAGACAGTTGCAATACAAAACACTAATTATGATTCCAGTTGGGGTTATTTTCCAATATACCTTGCCTAATAGAAATGCACTGTTTTTTCTTTTTGTTTTTTTTGTTTGTTTGTTTGTTTGTTTGTTTTGAGATGACAGGTTTCTGTGCAAAACTTTTAAAAACCAAATATTTCTAGGTGAGTTGCAAAAATGCCTTGTAAAAAATATTAAAAACTAAAGAGCCCTAACCAGGCACAGTAGTTCATCTCAGCACTTTGGGAGGCCAAGGTAGGTGGATCACAAGGTCAGGAGTTTGAGACTCGCCTGGCCAACAAGGTGAAACTCCATCTCTACTAAAAATATAAAAATTGGCCAGGCATGGTGGCATGTGCTGTAATCCCAGCTAGTAAGGAGGCTAAGGCAGGAGAATCACTTGAACTCAGGAGGCAGAGGTTGCAATAAGCTAAGATCGTGCCCTTGCATGCCAGCCTGAGTGACAAATCAAGACTCTGCCCCCCACTCCCCCAAAAAAAAACCTCTGAAAGAGCCCTATCTTTTGTTTCATTTTTGAGGCAAGGTCTCACCATCACCCAGGTTAGTGGCATGATTACAGCTCACTGTAGCCTCAACCTCCTGGGCTTTTAAGAGACCCTCCCACCTCAGTCTCCCAAGTAGGTGGGACTATAGGTATATGCCACCAAGCCTGGGTGATTTTTGTATTTTTTATAGAGACAGGCTTTTACCATGTTGCCCAGGCTGGTCTTGAACTCCTGGGCTCAAGCAATCCACCCATTTTGGCCTCCCAAAGGTGTGAGCCACCATGCCCAGCCAACCGTATCTATTTTTCAACTAGACAGTATAAATTGTCTAAAATCCCATATGTTGAGAGTTTTAGTTTTCAATATTTAATCATTTTGAATAGCTGACTGTATACAATACAAAAAAGATGAAAGAGAGAAAAAAGCCCAACACTCCAGGATTAGATACTCAGAAAAGACAGCATAGTGAAAAGAGGTATCACAGTGAAGGAA